AAAAATTTAAAAAAAAAAAAAAAAAGAAAGATACAGGTGGGGCCTGCACAGCAAGAACCAATCCCAGTGCGCCTCACCTGCAGGCCTATCAGCATGCTGGATGGGGGAAAAAGACAAACCCGCTTGCCCTTAAGGGGCACCTCATGTCATGATATTGGGACAAGCGAGAGACTCCTCTTGCTCCAGTAGGACCGCTCATAATCCCAGAACCATCAGCACAGAACTCCCTTCCATCATTCCCCAGATCCCTCAGCCATACCGAAATCCCATCACAGAGGAAGGTCAGCAAAAGAGAACACAAACTCAGTACTGTGAAGGTGCAATGGGTTCTCTCCTCCTGTCCACTCCTGTGCCACTCGCTCATGCCCTCTCCTTCCACACATGACCACATGGAAGGGTCGTCACTCTGCTCTGTCGCCAGCCCTTGTTATAATCCAGTCCCTGTGCTTGGAACTGGAAAGAGCGCCTTCTTAATTCTCAACTGAACATGGGCCTAAGAGAGGTAGGACACCCCCAAGCTATTCAAAGAAAAACCACCAGAGGAAACGATTTCAAATCTGGCTTTACAAGCATGGGATTTAAAAATAACTCTGCCTTTGTCTGCTATAGATGACTTTCCCTAAAGGGACGGCTGTCCTTAAAGTAATCCGCTCAATTCTCAGGGCAAACAGATTCTTCCTTTTCCAGAACCCAGCATGTACTTCCAGGAGGCATCCCTATGTACCACTCATAATAACATCGGAAATGTAAACATCAAAGCCACTCTCAGAAAGAGTCCTCCATCTCTGCTGGCCTGAGAACCCCCAGGAAATAATGGAGATGCCCTTGTAGGTAGCTTCGGTCTCCAAGAACCAGATCTCTTCCCTTCATTGAGATGTCAGTCCAGAGAGCTTGGCAATTACGCCATAGCCACATCAGGTTTCAATGAATCCCTGGTTTATTTCTTCAGGAAAAAGTTATATCTTCAGATAATTAATTCATTCTTTGATCATATAGCTAGACAGAGCAAGAGTTGAGGTGTATGAAAAAAGGAAAAGGGGGCTGGAGGAACACTCATGGTAAGTAGTCTAAAAAGTCACAAGAACATTCCCCTTGATATCCAAGATACCCTTGGGCTAGATCGAGAAATGCATACTTTGTCAGTTTATGGCTTCATTTCCTTTCAACCAGACAGGTAGCGTGGACACGATGCTACTGAGCATAGCTCAAAGGATTCATGCCGAGCAAATACCCGAAAACAAATGTTTGGTAACTTGCTCTGCAATCATCTCCTGATTAGCCTGATGGCTTTCATTTATCCGCTGAAAATGTATAGCTATGCTTTTATTCATATTTTATTTCTTCTTTGCAACCTAACATCTCCTGACCACCTCAAAAGTTTTTCCATAAAGCGTCACAGGAGGTCAATAGCATCCGTTTGTGTGACAGGATCCTGAATTCTGTCCAGATTTTGCTGCGCAGGTTGAAGGTCTATTCCCTGGGGCCATATGGCAGTGACCAGACACATTGTACTCATCATAGCTGGGGGTGTTTAGGGATAGAGGTTGAGACGACGCTGTTAACTATCCTATGATCCACAGGACTGTCCCACAACCAGAGTTACCTGAAACTTAACAGTGCCAAGGTTGAGAAATACTGATCAAGACCAAAATTATACAATTCCCAGAATGCTCAAGGCTACATCTGTGCTCTTCCCTTCTGAGGATTTATTTTTCTCAAGATTAACTTGGTGCTTCTATTCTGGTCACTCCTGTGAGCTACACAGAATAATCAAGAACTTTCTCCCCTCCCAGGTTTGCCTGTGATCTACATCCATCCAGTCTCCCCCAGAAAATTATTTTGCATTATAATCTTCATAACCATCAACAATGTATGAAGAGCAGACTGTTATTTTATCTGAGTTTGGCATTTGAAGGAGGGCTTTAACTCTTTTTCTTTTTTGTTGGGACTATCAGTTTTCAATTCAAAGAAAATGATTGGAAGGGTGATACCCTTATTAAAAAACACATTAAGGTGAAGAACTTATTTCTAGGCCCCCTTTCATCTTGATGCCTTTCCATCGTAACCTAACAAAATGATATCCACTGCAATTCTGCAATACAACTGCAACTCTGATTGGGGCTTCCATGTTTTGAAGAGTCATCTACTGATACTGATTCTAACAAGCTCTGAGAACAGACTTTAAAAGAAGCCTCACATTCCACAACCCAGATTTTTAGCTAACAATAGGAGCCAAGGGTGTGGATACTCTCATTTTTACAATAACCCAATCAAATAAAAATTATGCTTTCTACCCAAAGAGAAACTGAGACTCTAAGAAGTTATGTCACTTTCTAGGGCCACATGAATACGAAGTGGTACGTCTCTGCACAGTGAACGCATAGGCTCGATCATCCCTTCGCACGGGGCCTCTGCTCCCTTCTCTCAGCTGTTTTGGCGCTTTGAAGTGTTATTGACTTTGTCGGTCTGGAGACAGTGGCACTGTACAGTCAGTAGCAGGTGCTCATGTTCACATTAAGACCGTTTTTCAAAGCAGCTTCCAGGGACGGCTGGAGATGAAGACTGACTTCTATCCCAGCCAGTGGTCTTAGGTTCTAACTCCAAGTGTATTTTGGAGAAGGAGCCAATGCAGAGAGATTTAAAAGGGAGAACTTCAACTCCAATACTAATGCATCAGAGCAGGGGTAAGCTCTTTCTCCTTTGCATCCTTTGCATTCCTTCTATTTAAATCTCACTCCGTATGGCACAGAAACTCCTGCATGGGTAGAGGACATGGCGTTCAGTAACAATCTCCAGCACAAGTCTCGCATTGTCCTGCTTTCTGTCTTCCCCTGCAGCTAAGGCCCTCAGCTCAGTGACCTTCCTGCCGATTTATCTGGCTGGATCTTTGTTCCTGGTTACCTGTGCACAAGAAACGCTCTTTCTTCCTGTTCGTTTTGTACTACAGGGTACTAAAGCCACGAAGCCAGAGCTGCCTCCATCTGAGTTTATACTGTATCTGAACACTTTTCAGTGCGTTTTGAAGTATCGGTCATTTCAGGTGATTTTTTTTTTTTTTTAATATTTTAACATCGTTTACAGCCGATCTGCAGCCTTTGATAAATGTGGTTGAAGTGCGATGGGCAGACAAAATGAAAACAGAAAGTAAAGAACGGTTTTAGGAAAATTGACAAGAGAGATGGAGTCTGAGCTGAAGAAGGCTCGGCCACACGTAATATGAGAGCTTGCTTTTCAATTCAATTCCTTAATGACAAAACAAGAAATAGATAAAAGAAAAAAATGACCTGCTCCACACCCCTACTCATATTGTTTTTTTCCTTCAGGCTGGAGAAGAATGGATGTAGGTAAACAGTGCCTTATACCTTATAGAAAGTCTACCTAAATCTTTCAGCAAGATCTTATTATTTTTGTATTTGTATTTGAGGAATGAAGAAAAACAGATGCTAAAATGATTTAAATCACTGTCTTTGAGTTGGTATTTCTTAAAACGTAGTGCTTGGGTCAGCTGCATCAGAATCCCACGGAGAGATGGTTAAAAATACATATACCTGTGCCCTGATGGCAGTTCTGTAAAATTAGACTTTCTAGGGGTCAGTCCATAGAATCTATATTTAATAAATTCTCCAGGTGAGCAAAATGGATGCTCGCTAGAGCAAGAGACCTTTCACTGTGGATGAATCAGAGGGGTCCTGTCTGGACCGAAAGCCTCCCTGAGTGGTGAGCCCTTCAGGCCGCCATCCCGCCTTGCCCTTCCATTCCCCCTCCTCCCCTCCTGAAGACAGAACCCCGGGGCAGTTTACCTGGTCTGATGGGGCTCTGCATGCAGTTTGGAGACGGGATGCCAGGGTGAACAGGTGCAGAGGCCCGGCTGCTGAGGTCCATGACCGAGGGGGCAACTGAGGACGCTGGCTGCAGCCCGGGGGGGTGAGGGCTGTGGTCATGCTGAGACGGGCTGGGGGGAATGCCGTTTTTCTGACAAAAACTCCTCCAGGTCCATGTATTCCAACTGGAAAGTATCTCCATCATAGGGAAGGGTTTTGTCCCATAAGGTGGGCCCCAAGAAAGCAGACTGGGGGACGGTCGGGCTGTTACTGTCATCATCCAGCTTCTTTTCTTTGTCTTTATCTTTACCAAACGCTGCAGAAGAAGAAAAAATTGGGCTTCAGAAAGAGGAAAAAAGAAAAAGCGTCGCTCTTTACCCCCCTTCCTGACCTCTGTTACTAAACTACTTCTCCTGAATGCCAGGGTCTTTCTCTGGCTGCTGTCTTCTGTGGATCTAGAGTTAAAAGTTCAGGCAGGACATGGATCTCTGCCTGTTTTTCAACATCTTCCTATTTACTTTGGAAAGAAAGCAGTAGTCCTTGGGACAGGGCTACAGGCTGATCTAGGATAAAAACAAGAGAACAGTCTTCAGTGCATTATTTGAGGAGATAATTTAAAGCTAAAATGGAAAAATAACACCTGTGATTACAACTGTTGTGATTTTTAAGCAAACAGTCCATAACCAGGTTTGATTTCTGTTCTAGAAAATTCATCGCATGGGACCAGCAGTTGGCATAAAGGTCTGTGTTGCTGGACTCCCATGTAGTCGACTGCAGCTCGAGTCCTGGACCTGGTGATTTAAACTCACGCCGGGCATGCATGCGTGCGTGCCCAAGATTCCGAGAGGAAAATGGAGAAGGGATTGCAGCGTGGCCCTCTTCCCTGGGGGTGATTTCTCGCTTTCTGTGTCTCTGTCTCTCTCTGTCTTTCTGGTGAGTGCACATGCCCTATAGAAAAAAACGTCTCCAAAAAAGAAAGTTTATCACAGTAGCAATATGAGGTCATTCAATCTTACGAAGCCATAGAGCTGGTGATTTTAGTCAAGTGGGGATTGTCTACCCTTCATTGATACCATGTGTTGAGTATCTACTATAGTCCTAATTCTGTCTATATATCATTTCAAATACCCCATAATAAATATGCAAAACAGTGATTATCTCCATTTAAAATGAAGGCATGAAAACTATGAGACTTGAAGTACTTGACCAATGCCTGGTATTGTAAGAGAAGATAAATGAGTTTCTGAGCCCACGTGTGTTTGCTTCTAAAGTCACTAAGATTCATCATTGGTTTGTTCTCCAAAAGAAGTTAAAAACAATAACACAAAGTGCTTTCTTCCTCCTCTCCCCCACTTAAATATGATCCAATTCACAGAAATTATGCATTTGTACAAGCTTTCAAGCACAGTTATTGAGAAGGCGAGTTTTTCTACATACCTATGAAGGAAGTATGCAGCTAGTTTGTATCTGGAAATACCATTCACCCCATTAGGTATTTCGAAGGCACTGAATTTTGCCAATTCTAGTACTCAGGTGTGGGTGGAATCTAGGATTAAGAAATTTGCTTCTGAGTTTCTTCCTCAGCGAAACGCAGCCTCCACTGCCATCCATTCTAACCTTCTACAGTCTCTACCAAGAATCTGGTTTAAAACATCCACAGATGCTGGAGCCTGCAGGAAGCCCCTTCCTCCCAGGGCTGCTAATCCTTCAAATAGGAGAGTTAAGGGAGGGAAGCTATGGCTGCAGACTGCCAACAAAACACCCCAACTTGTGCAACGCAACAAGTCGTCCCCTCCTTGGAAAGAAGATGCGAGTACTCCCAAGCTACGTGTAGCCAAATGATCTTTCAAGACTTTACACTATGCGCCGCATGGATCCTGTTTGCAACTGTGATACCCAAGGCACTAAATTGCATCAGTCCCAGTGGCAAGTCCGTGGCTGCATCAGCTCGGTTCTAAGTAACCGACCCTTCCCCTCCCACTCTAGCCAAGGTTGTCCAGGGAAGGTTTGGGACTTACCAAGAAAGGGCTCAAGCCAGAGGAGGCTCCTGCGCAGTTACACGTGAGCCTGCTCTGCTCTCCCCTCCCACCGGCAAAAGTGCACGGGTAAAGTGTTGGCGCTAAAGGCGTGCACGGCTTCCCGCCGAGAGACCACTCCCCCC